TACTTATTTAAAGTATCATTTCCATAATATCGGGTACCCATTAATATCGGAATAAAAAGACTCGATATTCCATATATCGATACCAAAAACCAAAAAATGTATCTAATTATAGGTCTCGTATATAGGCCGCTGTGGGGTAATGGTTAGCAGTGCGTAAAGCTTGAAAATGAAAAACAGCTTCCCATTAAAACAAATTCGCCGTTCAGAGTCGACATAAAACTGTAGGGACCCCCTTTTGTGCCACAAAATTAAGGCGCGCGCGACAAATCGGAGGAGAATCTCGGTCAACCACTAACATATTGGCTGCATTTCTTTATTCATTCTGAACGTTTGGAATAAACTTTTTTGTGTATTTATTCTTTAGAACGTTCCTGATGATATGTTGACGTATATTTCAAACGCATTCTGTTTATTCCGGCTGTGAAATGGGATTATCCGGAATGTATAAAGAAACGCAGCCATAATGTAACGGCACGTAGAGATTGATGTGTTCACTTAAAACACCGAGGTTGCGGGGTCAAATTCCACCACATGCAATCCTAACTATATATATTTGTATCGGGACGAATTGTTAATAGCATTATCCTTGTAATGTGAGTTTATGACATTCGATACGATACTAGGGCTCTGGTACTCGATTCCAAAAAATAACGTTTTAAAACTATCGAGTAGAAAATATCGGCATTAAATGCCAAAAGTATCGATACGGTATCGTATCGTATCGAAATTCGTGTCCCTAAATGTGTTTGGCTTCCGGTTTGTTNACGTTTTAAAACTATCGAGTAGAAAATATCGGCATTAAATGCCAAAAGTATCGATACGGTATCGTATCGTATCGAAATTCGTGTCCCTAAATGTGTTTGGCTTCCGGTTTGTTGTTAAATATTTTATGGATCATTTTAGTACAAATGTCTTCAGCTGGCCCTTGTGACGACTTTTTAGAGTTCCAGGTACGTTTCCTAAGCACTGAAATATATTTTCTAAATTTTATATTTTTAGGAATCTATAAAGAAGATGCGTGCCCTCGATGATAACATTATTTATATGCTAAACAGTTCTCTTCCGACTGAGTCTTTTAAAGGACAGGTGAATTGTGAAAAGGTCTGTTATAACTTGTATACCCAGTTGCAAGACATACATAAACGTCGAGAAAAAAAAATTCGTGATTGCATACTTGCTTCAGCAGAGTCTTTAAAAAAAGTGCGAGAGTTGAGAGAAAATAATCTGGATGATGTCGACATTAATAAAAAATTTAAATTGGAGCAGCGGAAGGTGAATATTATAAAATTTGTTGGGCTGTCCCCGGCTCAACCGACAGTTATGGCAAATTCAAAAACTAACCTTTAATAAAACGCGTTTTTGTTTGGGGTGGGCTATAGATTGGTAACCCCAGAGTCCGGAATTAAGGAAACTATGGGAGGTAGAGGGGGGTCTAATAGTTGTCTGTATGAAGTTTCAAAGCGCGAAGTCGTATAGGTTTTAAGGAATTTGTTACAATTTGTAAATTTAACAAACTTGTGTGTCGCTATTTCACAATAGTCCAAAGCGAGTTCCCTAAGGTGTGTGTTATGCAGAAATTTTGTTTGGCAAACCGTGCAATTGTTGCAGCAAACTCGGGGAGAGCGAGTTTGGCGACTCTCGGACCAAACTAAATTTGTTTGGTCAAACTGCAGCAAATTTGGTGTCATATACAAAAATTTAAAAAAATTGTTGCTTTACACAAAAACTGACGTGATACCAAAAGCCAGAGAACTGTATTTATGCTGTAGGAGCTTCTCAAAGATTAGGGCACAGTTAATTGCCTATAAGATATCAAAAAAAATTATGGGTGGGCTTTAGTAGTCAGCCGCACCTTGTGTTTTAAGAAAACCAGGTGGAATTAACAAATGAAACTTGGTCAGTATGTTAAGGGAGGTATCCTCTAAAACATGTATAACTAACACTTCCACTTCCACTTGGTTTCCTTAACAAAAAAGCATTTGTGCATACTTTTATATATATAAATGCACATAACACTGTACTTAATACTTTACACAATTTTCTTTTATTTTATCTTGTATAAAATCACTTTAATTAAACTTTTATCGACTTATTGAATTTCACGCATATTTACAATAACACATGGTTGCAAACTGACACATAACATGTGTTGCCATATTGTACAAAACAATACATACAAAGAAGGCAATGATTAAAAAGGAATACAGGGGAAATCAATACTAAGAAAATGTTCAGCTCCTTTTCTTCGCAAAACAGAAAGGAGAATTCTATTGCCTGAAGGTTATAATCCCTAAGTGCGGCCGAAGGCCGCCTACGCAGAAAGGTGTTCTCTGCAAAAGGTGTTCAGCTCCTTTTCTTCGCAAAACAGAAAGGAGAATTCTACTGCCTGAGAGTTATAATCCCTAAGTGCGGCCGAAGGCCGCCTACGCAGAAAGGTGTTCTCTGCAAAATGTGTTCAGCCCCCCCTTCTTCGGCAACACAGAAATAATAGTTCTACTAAGTAAAAATTCGAAATTAAAAAAACGCTTTTATTATTCAAAATTCCAGTCTGGTAGCACTAAGTTGTATGTTATTTTGCTATCTTATTCATCGTTTATATGAAAACTTTAACAATAAATTATATAAGAACTATAGGGTTCCTAGAAAAAAGGGGGGTAGTTTTGAAATCAGGGGGTCCTATTCTACCCCCCCCTCATACCCCCTTTTTCTAAAATTTGCCGTCCGTCTACTAAAATTTTCCCAAAATTATATTAATTATGCACGTTATGTACATCTGAAATTCTCATTTCGTGTTGGCAATATCCATGAAAACTATAATGAACGTGCAACCCCGAGCAAACTAAGCAGCCACCATTTAATTTGGCAAACAAAAGTTTGTCTGCATAACACCGACCTAGCTCGAAATTTACAGCAAAAAATGAGAGAGCAACACTCGGCGTTCCCACGACACTCCCCAAAATCTCTTTAGGGAATTTGTATGCTGTTACAACAACAACAACAAGAGCAACACTCGTTGAGAGTGGCTCTCTACTGCCCGAAATAGTCAGATTTACAGCCCTATTCGCGTGCAATGACAAAACTCACCGCTGTAACTATTAGGAGTGTTCGCTATGCAAAAAATTTGTACAAGTTGGTACCAATTGTTACCAAATCGTGTTCGTTTAGCCAAAAACCCAGTAAAACTTGCAAGGAGAGAGCACAATTTTGACATTTCATTTGGAGGCGAAGTTGCAAATTCGTGCTGGGAAAATTTTTGCCAGTAAGAGTTTGCAAGCAGGATTGTGGCACACGGTTGCATTTTTTTCAACATTAATTTGAATCAACGAGTTCATTATATTTAAAAATTAACAATCTTGTTGCGTTTTACCTATGAAAGAAATATGTAAATATTCGTTTATTCAATTAATTTAATTAAGTCCAAACATTTGANTTCAACATTAATTTGAATCAACGAGTTCATTATATTTAAAAATTAACAATCTTGTTGCGTTTTACCTATGAAAGAAGTATGTAAATATTCGTTTATTCAATTAATTTAATTAAGTCCAAACATTTGAAAGGTACTCGGCTGAAAAAGCTGTGTCCGTAATCGGAACGCACTCGGCACCACTGTCGATTTAGGAAATCCGACAGTGACTTCTACAATGAAATTGAAGCGTTTTTTGAAGAAAGTCACAATAAGAAGAAATATAGTAGAGGTCCTGTTTTGGTTTCCACCTGAAATAATTTAAAAAATTTATTATGCTCGAAACTTAGTAAGTTTATCTCTTTGGGATAGTAAAGTGCCTTGTTCTCTGAATTTTGTTACTGGCTTGTCATGTTTATAATCAATTGTGACGTTTGGGTATGCAGAGGGCAATTTGAAAGCTCCAACGGTGACAATTGCTATTATTTTTGTGATGACCTATTGAGTACGTGACAACGCTAAAACATATGTTAATATTAGATTTGTTCGTCGAAAATCCAGCAAGAATTATCCAACACACAAAATATCAGAGAGAAAGAAAAAATTTTCTCAAATTCTCTCTCATGTTGGGGAACTTGCAAATTCCTGCACGATCGCAAATTTGCAGGAATTTGCAGGTTTCCCTGACAGTTGGTGTCCACGGTTGCATTTCACACATAAAAAAATTTATATAATTTTTAAAATTCTTTCGGATGGCCAAAAACAGGTTATACATGTATATTTCTTGTTGTTCTGGCTTTCTTTAAAATACATTTCAATTTCTTCATCGTACTAGCTGTCGGGTTTCTTAAATCGACTCTGGTTGCAATTGCATTCCGATTGCGATTACAATATTTTTCAGCCGAGTTAAGTTCAAATCATTGGAGTTAACCAAATTAATTATATCAACAATTATTTACTTCCTTTTTTCATAAAAAAATCGCTCGTGATTATAAATTTTTAAATTTAACGAACTAATTTATTCAAATTATTGTAGACCAAAATGCAACGATGTGCATCAATCATATGTTTTTCGTGATTGCAAATTCCTACTGGCTAAAATTTTTCCAGCAAGAATTCGTAACTTCTCTCAGGAGAACTGTCACTTTTCTCTCCCAATTATTGAGTGTTGAATAATTTTTGGTTTGCACGAACGCGATTTGGGCAANTCTCTCCCAATTATTGAGTGTTGAATAATTTTTGGTTTGCACGAACGCGATTTGGGCAAAAATCGTGATAATTCGTACAAATTCGTACACATTTTTTGCTCGACGAACAAACCTATTTTAAATTTTATTAATTTTGCAGACAAAATTTTACTAAATGAAAACTGTGAAACCCTTTCATTTGTCTTAATAGAGGCGTTAAAAAATTATTATTTGCGTATGCATATCAATAGTATCCATTGCAGAAAATTTTACATAGAGGAAATATTTATTTATTTATTTATTTTTTATTTTTGTTTTATTTTATTTTATTTTATGAAAGCTTATATAATAAAATTATTAAATAAACTGAAAAGAAACTCAGCGCTAGGAACGGAAGCTTTCGGCTGGCTGGTGAAGATTGGCTGGTTCAAATACGCCGGAGAAGATCGGAATCTTTCAGAAATTTATAGATTTTGGAAATATTAATTAATAGTGATAGCGGATCATAGTTTTCAACATG